ATTATGTTGCGCTTGAGCTTCTCTATCTGTTCTTGACATCGGTTTATCTCTCTCATCATTATTTCTTGCGCAATCAAAGAAAACGATTAAATCGCGTATATACTGTCATTTTGCGCTATAAAAAGAGCCATTTGAAGCATGTTTTACATTTGCAAATATCTTTCTTAAAAAGAAAGCCATGGACTTCTAAGAGGTATCATTATGTTGCGCTTGAGCTTCTCTATCTGTTCTTGACATCGGTTTATCTCTCTCTCATCATTATTTCTTGCGCAATCAAAAGAAACGATTAAATCGCGTATATACTGTCTTTTGCGCTATAAAAGAGCCATTTGAAGCATGTTTTACATTTGCAAATATCTTTCTTAAAAGAAAGCCATGGACTTCTAAGAGGTATCATTATGTTGCGCTTGAGCTTCTCTATCTGTTCTTGACATCGGTTTATCTCTCTCATCATTATTTCTTGCGCAATCAAAAGAAAACGATTAAATCGCGTATATACTGTCATTTTGCGCTATAAAAGGCCATTTGAAGCATGTTTTACATTTGCAAATATCTTTCTTAAAAAGAAAGCATGGACTTCTAAGAGGTATCATTATGTTGCGCTTGAGCTTCTCTATCTGTTCTTGACATCGGTTTATCTCTCTCATCATTATTTCTTGCGCAATCAAAAGAAAACGATTAATCGCGTATATACTGTCATTTTGGCGCTATAAAAGAGCCTTTGAAGCATGTTTTACATTTGCAAATATCTTTCTTAAAAAGAAGCCATGGACTTCTAAGAGGTATCATTATGTTGCGCTTGAGCTTCTCTATCTGTTCTTGACATCGGTTTATCTCTCTCATCATTATTTCTTGCGCAATCAAAAGAAAACGATTAAATCGCGTATATACTGTCATTTTGCGCTATAAAAGAGCCATTTGAAGCATGTTTTACATTTGCAAATATCTTTCTTAAAAAGAAAGCCATGGACTTCTAAGAGGTATCATTATGTTGCGCTTGAGCTTCTCTATCTGTTCTTGACATCGGTTTATCTCTCTCATCATTATTTCTTCTTGCGCAATCAAAAGAAAACGATTAAATCGCGTATATACTGTCATTTTGCGCTATAAAGAGCCATTTTAAGCATGTTTTACATTTGCAAATATCTTTCTTAAAAGAAAGCCATGGACTTCTAAGAGGTATCATTATCGCGCTTGAGCTTCTCTATCGGTTTA